TGATTTTGGTGGAATGATGAAATAAAGGGTGTGATAAAAGAGAAAAAGGTTTGCTTACGAGAGGTTTTTACAAAGCAGAAGTGTTATAAGAAGAGAGAGTATATGGAGAGTAAAAGAAAGGTGAAGAGAGTGGTGAGAGAGTGCAAAAAAGGGGAGCAGATGAAAGAGTGGGAGAGGCACTGTCAAGAAATTTTTATGAAAATAAGAAAAATTTGGAGTGAGGTTAAACAAAGTTAAGAAAGCCTAGGGAAAGTATGGATTTGTCAGTTAAAAACAGAGTAGGGGATTTAGTAGATGGGGAGGGGGGAGGTATTAGGTAGTGGCGAGAATATTTTGAGGAACTTTTAAATGTTAAGGAAGAAGGGAGGGGGTTTAATTTTCATGCAGGGCCCAGGGAGGTATCCATCTTTTAGGAGTAAAGAAGAGAGAATGAAAGTGTGGTGGGGTACGTGGGCTTACGAAAATAAAAGGGGGGTATAGCAGCTGGAAACTGATGGGTCTGACAAAAATGTTAAAGCAGGGGGGGAATAGTGTTGGGATTGGTTTGGTACTTTTGTTTAAAAAATGTTGAAGGGGGAAAGGTACCTAGGGATTGGCGGGAGGGGCAGTTTACCCCTTTTAAAAAGGAAAAAGGGGACAAAAGAGATTGAAAAAATTATGAGGAATAAGTTTACGGGTTTTATACCAGGAAAAGTATAGGTAGGGTTTAATTGAAAGAATTGAGGTAAGAAGAATGTAAAATTTTGCGGACGAGAAAGGAGGCTTCGAGTGGGTAGGGGATGTTAGATCAATGTTACATTGAAAATATTGTGAACGTTTTAGATAAAGGTGGGGAAGTTTTTATTCATTTAGGGATTTAGAAAAGCATATGATGAGTGGTAAGGAGAAATGGGGCGATGTTTCAAGTATATGGAATAGGTGGTAAATTTCTAAATGCTGTAAAAAGCTTTTTGAGGATAGTGAGGCTAGGTTAGGGGGTGTGAGAAAAGGGGAATACTTCCCCGGTAAAAAATGGTCTTAGACAGGGGTGGTAAAGTCACCAAAGGTTGTTTAATATATTTTTGATGGGGGTTTTAAAAGAAAATAAAAACTAGGGTGTTTGGGGAGGGTGGGATTAAAATTTGGGGTCAAATTCAAAATGGGGGAAATTTACACAGTTTCTTTTTGCTGTGTATGGCTTATGGGAGATTTAAAAAAAAAAAATTACAAAAAGGGTTTTTAAAAAGGGTTTGTGGAGATTTGAGAATGTGTGTAAAGGTTAGAAAGTTTAAAAAGAAAATAGAAAAAGTAAAGGGGTGGGGTATCAAAAGGGGATCAAATGATTTAGAAAAAGAAAAATTGGATTCAAATTTGGGGGGGGGAGTAGGAAGAAGTGAATGTTTTAGATATTGGGGTTGACGTGTCGGCGGATGGATTTTTGAAAGGGTGAGGTTAAAACATGAAATTTATGAGGGAAAAAATGGGGTGGGGTTGGGTATGTGGAGTCAAAAAACTTATCATGGGCAAAGAAGGGAATGTATGAAGTTAGTAGTCCCAAATCTTATAGGGATGTAAAAGTTTGGGGTGGTAAATGCAGCGCGAGGAGACGGTTGGAGGAGTGGAGATGCCCTGTCTAAGGGAATGTTGGGTAAAATTATGCAAAAAATTGGAATGTGGAAATTAGAAGGTTGGGTTAATAAAAGATTAGTCAGAGGGCAGAAGGGGGTTGTTGAGGTGGTTTGGCATTTAGAGAGAATGGACAAAAAAAGAATGACATGGAAAGCATTAAAAATTTTGGGGAAAAGGGAAAAAGGGGTAGGGGTCTCCCCGAAAGGGTTTTAAAGAGAGGGTAAAAGGAGGTTTTGTGGGTGAGGGGCTTGGATCTGCCAGCAAGCGTGCGTTGAGCGTGTTAGATAGGATGTGAATGGAGGTCGAATGTACTTGGGACCTGACGAGTGTTGGAGTGTGAGCTGGGTAATATTTAGTGAAGGGATTCTGTGAGGAAAAAACCGGTTTATTTTTCATATAGTCGGACTGAGTCCGGGAAATGGGAAGTACAGGCCTGCTACTTTAAAGAGGGGTTTGGGATATTGGCAGTTTGGAGGGATATGTTGTGTATCTCTATACATATATGCTTCTGGTTTAGAAAGACACGTAAGCAAACACTATAACATATTTATTTAGGAAAAGTTTCGGTCCTGGGACCTTGAACACTTATAACATTCAGAGGTAGAAAGACATTATATATAGGCGGAGAGTGAGATGTGACGCACGTGACCTGAGGAATGTCATAAGAACATAGAATGGAGGTACATGTAGTAGCCCTAATGGCCCTTGCGAGGCAGGGTCATTATCAAAACAAACCTCTGCCTATGATGAGGACCAGTTAGACGATGAAATTCATGTGACTCTTTTGTTGTTGGGTTGGTACTGCTTAAGTATCATGATGCCAATTGTTTTTGAATTTGTAGTTTCTGTGTTGCGTTCTATAGTTTGTCGGTGACGGTGATTAGTGGGCTTCTAGGCACCGTCGGCAGCCGTCTGAGGTCCCTGGTTCGGTTCGTGAGAGAACGAGTTGTGCCTTGTTTCCAGTTCCTTCATATGCCCCGTGGAGGTCTCTGTGGAGGGTCACAGGCGTACCTTACCATTGTCTCTGTTAGAGCCCATTTCGATGCTCATTCAGGCGGACGGCCAAGATCTCTGCCGGTCTCGCCTACATATTTCTTGGGACAGAACCCACAGGGGATAGTGGTAGACGCCTGCTGTAGAATTTAGAGTTGTGGGGCTAAGTTTAGTAGTGAGGTCTTTGATAGAGGATGTGTTTATGGTGGATACCGTTGATGTTACTCATAGCAAGTGCCCGGCGGGGAGTATTCGTGGCAAACTCGCCACATGGGAGTATACTTATGAACTGTTTAGGGGGCTGTTTTTTTCCATGGGCGGTTTGTTGAGGATTGCTTGTGCCTTTTTGAGGGTCTGCAATCTCGGATGAAGAAAGATGTGGTAACTGAAGTCGTTGTAAAGGCTTGTGTTGATGTAAGTGCATTCTTCTTCTAGAAAACAAGGCTGGAGATGCGAAGAAGAGCTTCTCAAGAAGGAAGCAATGAGGACTCTTCTTAGTGCGGGGATCTTGGTGTTGAATAAAAGGGGTAAGATCGTCCTTGTTGGTAGGTTTTCTATACACTTTGGAAGAGAAGTTTGTCTCTGTCGGGAGATCTGCACAGTGAACGTCGAGAGAAAGGAAGTTGCCATCATTTCGAGTTCATGTGCGAAACTTTAATGTTGGTTCAAATGCATTGATCTTGTTGAGAAGGGCCTGGATATTGAGACGGCTTGGAAGAAAACCAATATATCATCAACGTATCTTAGCAGGTAACGGTGTGGAATGAGGGTGCTGAAATTTCTCTGTATCCAAGTTTTCCATGAAGAGGTTGGCAAGCACAGCACTGAGCGGGCTGCCATTGCCATTCCAACAGCAATTGTTTTGTAACCAGTTGTCATGATACTTGAAGAAAGTTGAATTAACACACAGTTCCAACTAGATCGATGAATCTAGAAGAGGTTAAAAGGCGAGGTCGTGGTTTCAGTGAGCCTCTGTCTCTGAATGGTGATTGCAGCGTCTAGTTAGGAACGTTGGTTAAAGAGGGCTGTGACATCGAAGGAAGCCATGCTTTTGTTTTTGACATTCAGGTTGGAAATTCAGGTCACGTGCGTCACATCTCACTCTCCGCCAATATATAATGTCTTTCTACCTCTGTATGTTAGAAGTGATCAAGGTCCCAGGACCGAAACGTTTTCTAATAAATATGTTATAGTGTTTGCTTACGTGTCTTTCTAAACCAACTTGTCGGTATTTATTACCAAGGTTTATACCATATATGCTTCTAAACTGTTATATTCTGAGCACCTCTGCAAAAGCAGTGATAATGTGTGAGTGTGGTGAAAGTGTTGAATGATGATGAAAGTATTTTCTTTTTGGGGATTTTCTTTCTTTTTTTTGGGTCACCCTGCCTCGGTGGGAGACGGTCGACTTGTTGGAAAAAAAAAAAAAAATTCAAACACAAAATGGGAATTGACACAGTTACTTTTTGCTGATGATACTGTGCTTATGGGAGATTCTAAAGAAAAATTGTAAAGGTTAGTGGATGAGTTTGGGAGTGTGTGTGTAAAGGTAGAAAGTTGAAAGTGAACATGGAAAAGATTAAGGTGATGAGGGTATCAAATGATTTAGATAAAGAAAAATTGGATATCAAATTGGGGAGGAAGACTATGGAAGAAGTGAATGTTTTGAGATACTTGGGAGTTGACGTGTCGGCGAAGGAAGGCGGGGTAGGGGTCGTCCTCAAAAAGGTTGGAAGGAATGGGTAAGGGAGGTTTTGTGGGCGAGGGGCTTGGACTTCCAGCAGGCAAGCATGAGCATGTTCGATAGGAGAGAATGGAGACTAATGGTATTTGGGACCTGGCCAGCTGTTGGAGTGTGAGCAGGGTAATATTTAGTGAAGGGATTCAGGGAAACCGGTTATTTTTATATAGCCGGACTTGAGTCCTGGAAATGGGAAGTACAATGCCTGCACTCTAAAGGAGGGGTTCGGGATATTAGCAGTTTGGAGGGATATGTTGTGTATCTTTATACGTATATGCTTCTAAACTGTTGTGTTCTGAGCACCTCTGCAAAAACAGTGATTATGTGTGAGTGAGGTGAAAGTGTTGAATGATGATGAAAGTATTTTCTTTTTGGGGATTTTCTTTCTTTTTGGGTCACCCTGCCTCGGTGGGAGACGGCCGACTTGTTGAAAAAAAAAAAAACATTAATTTTGTACACATGACCCAATATGTTCACCTATTAATACATCACATCTTGAATCAGACCTGTGAAAACTTCAGTTAATCTACATAAAGCCCAATTTCCCACCACACAGCTTAGTATAATAAAGAATTTAAGAATTACACAACATACCTGTTAAAGGTTTCAAAGTGGAGCACATACATGCTTGGTGTATTACCTGCCTAAAAATGCTAACAAAATGTAATTAAAATCCATGTTATAACATACTTATTAAGAGCATCCATTTCTGAGTACAGTGCTTCCATCTCCTCAACAGGTGGGTTGGTTGCACTTCTTGCTGTAGTCACACTCTCATCCGGTGTAGCATTATCTGGTCTGTTTTCACAAACAGAATCAGTTTCCATAACACCTGAATCTCTTACTGGCTCAGCTACCTGAAATGTAAAATATGCATAACTTAAAAATAACCCATGTAATGGGATACTCATATACATTACAGTTTAAGAATTTTTATTAATTCCCAACATGGATATGTACTAATAGATGGGTTGGAAGGAAGGTGCTTAAGGTGGAGGTGAACATTAACCCCCTGAAGTATGGCATGGCATACCCAGAAATTAAAATTCCTGTGTCTGAGGGGGATGGAGGAAGTTTATTTTACACACACACACACACACACACACACACACACACACACACACACACACACACACACAGTGGACCCCCGGTATTCGATGGCATTGGTATTCGATAAATCCGGTATTCGATGCATTACATCGCAAAAAATTTGCCTCGGTATTCGATATAATTCGTACGAGACGTGTCCACATGTGGCCTGAACTGCCCCATGTGTGCCAGTGTTTACAAGCCAGCCAGGGTGCGCGCTTCTGGATACATTCGGCACGTTCCATATTATCTCTGTGTTTGGTGCTTGTTCTGCAAAATAAGTCACCATGGGCCCCTAGAAAGCTTCTAGTGCCAACCCTTCGAGAAAAAGCGCGCTAATGACTTATGAAATGAAGAAAGAGATAATTGCAAGGTAACAAAGTGGAGTGCGCGTGTCGGAGCTCGTTAGGTTGTATAATGAACCCCAATCAACCATCTCTACTATAGTGACCAGGAAAACGGAAATCAAAAAAGATGTTCTTGCAAAAGGTGCAACTGTGATTACGAAACAGTGACCGCAAGTGTTAGAAAATGTTGAGAGACTGTTATTGGTGTGGATAAATGAACAACAGATAGCAGGAGATAGCATCTCTCAAGCGATCATTTGTGAAAAGGCTAGGCAGTTGCATGACGATTTGGTAAAGAAATTGCCTGCAACTAGTGGTGATTAATATCGAATACTGGGGGGACCGGCCGACTTGAAAAAAAAAAAAAAAGTATATATATAATATATATATACAATATCATATTATATATATATATATATATATAATATATATATTATATATATATTATATATATATTTTTTTTTTTTTTTCAACAAGTCGGTCGTCTCCCACCGTTATATGTTATATATTATATATATATGTTATATATTATATATATATATGTTATATATATTATATATATATATATATATATATATATATATATATATATATATATATATATATTATATATATATATATATATATTATATATATATATATATATTTTCAACAAGTCGGCCATCTCCCACCGAGGCAGGGTGACCCAAAAAAAAGAAAGAAAATCCCCAAAAAGAAAATACTTTCATCATCATTCAACACTTTCACCACACTCACACATTATCTCTGCTTTTGCAGAGGTGCTCAGAATACAACAGTTTAGAAGCATATACGTATAGAGATACACAACATATCCCTCCAAACTGCCAATATCCCAAACCCCTCCTTTAAAGTGCAGGCATTGTACTTCCCATTTCCAGGACTCAAGTCCGACTATATGAAAATAACCGGTTTCCCTGAATCCCTTCACTAAATATTACCCTGCTCACACTCCAACAGATCGTCATGTCCCAAGTATCATTCGTCTCCATTCACTCCTATCTAACACGCTCATGCACGCTTGCTGGAAGTCCAAGCCCCTCACCCACAAAACCTCCTTTACCCCCTCTTTCCAACCCTTTCGAGGACGACCCCTACCCCTCTTTCCTTCCCCTATAGATTTATATGCTTTCCATGTCATTCTACTTTGATCCATTCTCTCTAAATGACCAAACCACCTCAACAACCCCTCTTCTGCCCTCTGACTAATGCTTTTATTAACTCCACACCTTCTCCTAATTTCCACACTCCGAATTTTCTGCATAATATTTACACCACACATTGCCCTTAGACAGGACATCTCCACTGCCTCCAACCGTCTCCTCGCTGCTGCATTTACCACCCAAGCTTCACATCCATATAAGAGTGTTGGTACTATTATACTTTCATACATTCCCTTCTTTGCCTCCATAGATAACGTTTTTTGACTCCACATATATCCAATGCACCACTTCACCTTTTTTCCCTCATCAATTCTATGATTAACCTCATCCTTCATAAATCCATCCGCCGACACGTCAACTCCCAAGTATCTGAAAACATTCACTTCTTCCATACTACTCCTCCCCAATTTGATATCCAATTTTTCTTTATCTAAATCATTTGAACACCCTCATCACCTTACTCTTTTCTATGTTCACTTTCAACTTTCTACCTTTACACACATTCCCAAACTCATCCACTAACCTTTGCAATTTTTCTTTAGAATCTCCCATAAGCACAGTATCATCAGCAAAAAGTAACTGTGTCAATTCCCATTTTGAATTTGATTCCCCAAAATTTAATCCCACCCCTCTCCCGAAGACCCTAGCATTTACTTCCTTTACAACCCCATCTATAAATATATTAAACAACCATGGTGACATTACACATCCCTGTCTAAGACCTACTTTTACCGTGAAGTAGTCTCCCTCTCTTCTACACACCCTAACCTGAGCCTTACTATCCTCATAAAAACTCTTTACAGCATTTAATAACTTACCACCTATTCCATATACTTGCAACATCTGCCACATTGCTCCTCTATCCACTCTATCATATGCCTTTTCTAAATCCATATATGCAATAAAAACTTCCCTACCTTTATCTAAATACTGTTCACATAAATGCTTCAATGTAAACACTTGATCTACACATCCCCTACCCACTCTGAAACCTCCTTGCTCATCCGCAATCCTACATTCTGTCTTACCTCTAATTCTTTCAATTATAACCCTACCGTACACTTTTCCTGGTATACTCAGTAAACTTATTCCTCTATATTTTTTACAGTCTCTTTTGTCCCCTTTCTCTTTATATAAAGGGACTATACACGCTCTCTGCCAATCCCTAGGTACCTTCCCCTCATTTATTAAACAAAAGTACCAACCACTCCAACACTATATCCCCCCCTGCTTTTAACATTTCTGTCATGATCCCATCAGTTCCAGCTGCTTTACCCCCTTTCATTTTACGTAATGCATCATGTACCTCCCCCACACTTACATTCTGCTCTTCTTCACTCCTAAAAGATGGTAGACCTCCCTGACCAGTGCATGAAATTACTGCCTCTGTTTCTTCCTTAACATTAAAAAGTTCCTCAAAATATTCTCGCCATCTACCTAATACCTCCATCTCCCCATCTACTAACTCCCCTACTCTGTTTTTAACTGACAAATCCATACTTTCCCTAGGCTTTCTTAACTTGTTTAACTCGCTCCAAAATTTTTTCTTATTTTCATTAAAATTTCTTGACAGTGCCTCTCCCACTCTTTCATCTGCTTTCCTTTTGAACTCTCTCACCACTCTCTTTACCTTTCTTTTACTCTCCATATACTCTGCTCTTCTTATAACACTTCTGCTTTGTAAAAACCTCTCATAAGCTACCTTTTTCTCTTTTATCACACCCTTTACTTCATCATTCCACCAATCACTCCTCTTTTCCTCCTGCCCCCACCCTCCTATAACCACAAACTTCTGCCCCACATTCTAATACTGCATTTTTAAAACTATTCCAGCCCTCTTCAACCCCCCCACTACTCATATATATATATATATTTTTTTTTTCAACAAGTCGGCCGTCTCCCACCGAGGCAGGGTGACCCAAAAAAAAAAGAAAGAAAATCCCCAAAAAGAAAATACTTTCATCATCATTCAACACTTTCACCACACTCACACATTATCACTGCTTTTGCAGAGGTGCTCAGAATACAACAGTTCAGAAGCATATACGTATAAAGATACACAACATATCCCTCCAAACTGCCAATATCCCAAACCCCTCCTTTAAAGTCCAGGCATTGTACTTCCCATTTCCAGGACTCAAGTCCGACTATATGAAAATAACTGGTTTCCCTGAATCCCTTCACTAAATATTACCCTGCTCACACTCCAACAGATCGTCAGGTCCCAAATATCATTCGCCTCCATTCACTCCTATCTAATACGCTCATGCACGCTTGCTGGAAGTCCAAGCCCCAAGCCAACAAAACCTCCTTTACCCCCTCTTTCCAACCCTTTCGAGGACGACCCCTACCCCTCCTTCCTTCCCCTATAGATTTACAGTGGACCCCCGCATACCGTCGCCATCACATAACGTACAATCCGCATACCGCTCGCTTTTATCGCAAAAATTTTGCCTCGCATACCGCTCAAAAACCCGCTCGCCGCTCTTCGTCCGAGACGCGTCCAATGTGCGCCCTTAGCCACCCTCACATGTGCCGCTGGTGGCATTGTTTACCAACCTGCCTCCGCGGTAACATCCAAGCATACAATCGGAACATTTCGTATTATTACAGTGTTTTTGGTGATTTTATCAGCCAAGTAAGTGACCATGGGCCCCAAGAAAGCTTCTAGTGCCAACCCTACAGCAATAAGGGTGAGAATTACAATAGAGATGAAGAAAGAGATCATTGATAAGTATGAAAGTGGAGTGCGTGTCGCCGACCTGGCCAGGTTGTACAAGAAACCCAAATCAACCATCGCTACTATTGTGGGCAACAGAAAGGCAATCAAGGAAGCTGTTCTTGCCAAAGGTTTAACTGTGTTTTCGAAACAGAGATCGCAAGTGATGGAAGATGTTGAGAGACTCTTATTGGTGTGGATAAATGAAAAACAGCTAGCAGGAGATAGCGTTTCTCAAGCGATCATAAGCGAAAAGGCTAGGAAGTTGCATGAGGATTTAATTAAAAAAATGCCTGCAACTAGTGATGATGTGAGTGAATTTAAGGCCAGCAAAGGTTGGTTTGAGAGATTTAAGAAGCGTAGTGGCATACATAGTGTGATAAGGCATGGTGAGGCTGCCAGTTCAGACCACAAAGCAGCTGAAAAATATATGCAGGAATTCAAGGAGTACATAGACAGTGAAGGACTGAAACCTGAACAAGTGTTTAATTGTGATGAAACTGGCCTGTTTTGGAAGAAAA